CTCTATTTTATTTTTCATCCTTCTTCATTCTGTTTGTTTTTATTTGTTTCCTCCCAATGCTTCTTCTGAAGTGTTACCACAAATCAGAAACTTTGGAACAGGCTCCAAACTAATTATTCATCCTTTTTCAATTGCACTGAGCAGCTCCCACCAGCTTTCTCAGCCCTTCCTGGTGCTCTAGACCCTTCCTGGTGCTCCATCCCTTCCCTGGACATGCTCCAGCCCCTCCAGGTCCATTCTGAGCATCTGCAGTGAAAAAGGAAACATTTACCATTTCAGGAAAAAGGGAGGAACATTTCTCCAGCACCACTTTGAAGATCAAAGTTTGAAAAATAAAGCTTTAAGTTGCCTCTAACAAAAATTCCAGGAACTGCTTTATTTTAGGTAATGAGGTGTCCTTCAGGAAAGGGATTAAAGGAGCTGTAGCGGATACATCAAGCGAGCCAGCAGCAAATTTTGTTAAACTTTTAATACACCAGGCAAGCAAGGATCAAATTTCTGATGAACCTTTGATACACCAGGAGAGCAAAGATCAAGTTTTTGATACATTTCTTATATAGCAGATGAGCAAGCAGCAGTTTATTGATGCATCAGGCAAGGCAGCCCCCCTCATGCTGGTCCTTCTATCCTGGCATCACTCCCTCGCTGGACGGTTCTCAGAGGGTCTTCCCCTGGATAGACACCTTGTTACAGTGACCATGGTGGCCACAGTGGCAATAACAGCTGCAGTGGTCACAGTGAACAAAGTGACCATAGTGGCTGTAATGGTGTCAGTAGCCTTGGTGGCCTCTGAGGGTCCGGGTGGCCTTCGTGACCAGGGTGGCCACAGTGGACCCCAAGACCACAGTGACTTTGGTGGGCTCGTGGCTTAGAGGGTTCCAATGGCCACTGCCATGGCCACGGTGGCCAGTAGAAGCCCCCCAAGGTGGGGGGAGCTCCTGGGGAGGCTCTCGCCTGTGGGGACAAAGAGAGGGNCCATGAGGTCACTGTGGCCACCATTTTCACTGTGGCACTGAGGCCACCACAGACACTCTGGCCACCATGTTTTGTTTTAGGGGGGTTGGCAGTTGGGTCTAATCTATCTCCTTATTATGGGGTGTTAGGGTTGGTTGTAGCGACTGTTGCAGGATGGGGTTAATTAGTGAATTTGGGGGTTTCTTTGGTATCTTTGGTTCTTGTTATGGTTTATTTAGGGGGTATATTGGTCGTGTTGGTTTATTCAGTGTTGTCATCCTGAAGCTTGGGCTGGTTGTGGGGTTGTTGGTTTCAGTTTTTGGATAGGTTTGGTTGTTGTGGTGGGGCTTGCTATTGGGGATGTGTTGGGACTATTAGTGGACAAAGGGAAGGTGAATAATAGGGGTCTGTGGTGTTTTTGGTTGGATTTTAGTGGGGTGGCTCTGCTTTATTCAGAGGGGGTGGGGTTGTTTGTAATTGGGGGGTGAAGGTTGTTTTTGACTTTGTGGTGCTGGAGCTTGTGTGTGGGTTATCTCGAGGGGCAATTGGGCTGTTTAGCGGAGGGGTCAGGATGCAGTTTGGCTTAAAATGCCAGCTTTGGGAGTTGGAGATGAAGGTTTGAGTCCTTTCTTCCTGAAGTAGTGGGGTAACATTAGGGTTACTCTAGGAAGGGGTTTATTCTTCAATCTTTGGCTTACAAGACCAATGTTTTTATAAATTGTTGGAGTTAATTGGAGTGTGAGTAGCTTGTTTTCTAGGGCGGCCACAAGGGGGAATAAAACTAGAAAGATTGTGAAGTAGGTGAATGAGGCTGTTGGCCGATAATGATGAATGGGTGTTGTACTGGTTGGCTGCCCACTCAGGTTAGGATGAGGACGTTAGCAACTAGGGTTCAGAGTAGGATTTGTGATAGAGGGCGATAAGTTATTGATCATAGTTTTGATGTGTGAGAGCATCCCCAGGGCTTCCTTCCAACTTGGAGGACTGCTCCTGGCCACCACAGCCCTGGCAGCAGCCACTGGGATCCTCTGAGCCATGAAACCACCACGGGCTCCAAGGTCAATGTGGTCACTGAGGTAACCGTGGCCACCCTGATCACCAAGGTCACTGTGGCCACCCTGATCACCAGTACTACCAGGGCCCCTAGAGAAACAACGCCACCAAGGCTACCAAGGCCACCACTGCCACTATGGCCACCTTGGCCACTATTGCCACCATGAGGTCACTGTGGTCATTATCACTGTGGCACTGCGGCCACCACTGCCACTCTGGCGTCCATTGTCACTATAATCACCAAGGCCACTGTGGCCACCTTGATCACCTAGAATCTCTCAGCCGTAAGGCTACCACAGCCACCGTGGCTACCAATATCATTATGCAAAGAAATTCTATTAAAATATTGAATCAAAACAATGCCATTAAAGAATTCTGATAAAGCAAGCAAAAATCTGACAAATCCTAGGCAAGACTCAATGTCACTCCCCACACCAGCACTTATGGGAATGTCTCCTTCTCTCTGCCTTGAGGAGGATCCTTTGGGAGCATCCCCTTCCCGAGGGAGGAATGTCACACATATTTCCTTTTAAGCAGGAAGAGGGGAGAGGAATCTCTGTCTCAGAGGGGACTGCACACTCCCACAGTCAGCTGATGGATGGCCCGGCCCAACTCTGGTGCTTCAGCCTTAGTTATCAATTCCGGGTTGGTGATTTGGGCTGATTTTAGCCCAATTCAGCACCAAAATCAGCACCAGACCTCTCTCAATGCAGCCCTGATGGCCACAAATGAGGCATTGTCCCTTGGCCACATTCCAGGTGGAGCATCCTGTCACATCCTCCGGTTCAGAGGGCCTTAAAGGCTGGAAATTGGGAGGTTCAAGAAGGCAAGGGCAGATCCTGCCCCTGGGTAGGGACAGTCCCCAGTGCCAGTCCAGGCTGGGGTTGACGTGCAAGAGCACCTGTGGAGAAGGACCTGAGGATGCTGGTGGGTTACCAGTGGAGCTGGCCATGTGGCCTGGGGC